GGGGGGGGGGGCTAAAGCTAAAAATTATTGGGTATGTTTCCTTAGCAATGGGAATAGGCGAGTAATTAATTCCAGTACTTAGATCATTCTGACCCATTAGATTCTAAGTAGTCTAGATACTGCCGGTTTTGGTTCTTAATGCAACAAAACTATCCTATTGTAGGCGTCAATCAATATGGCAGTCGTATTTTTTATATAGAAGGGTCAGAATAGGACGGACATTCCAAAAGATAATATTTCTTTTCTAAAGATAATCGACTATTAGAAAATGCTATATTTTTATCTCTAAATTTCGAACAGAAATTCTTTTTGACGAAGTTGCTATGGTCTGTAATGGGGGCAGGGGTATATGTCTGTAATGCTCTCTTTCGTTGCTATGGTATGTAATGGGGGCCTATCGTAAGGAGAGGAGGGGGAGCTGCGAAACCTCGAACTTAAAACTTACACCCACTATTTTCTTCGAAAATATATGTGAGTTCCACATTTTAGCCCCGAAGGGACTGCGCTGACAAGCTTTTTCAAGGTTATATATGTTGTTATCGAGAGAGATGCGCCCTCTATGTATGTGCGTGTTTCTGCCCTCATCCTCAGTCGAGAGATGCGCGCTCTGTGTGTGCATGTGTATCCGCCCTCATCCTCAGCCGAAAGATACGCCCTCTGTGTATGTATGTGTATCTGCCATCGCCCTCAACAATTCTAGGGGTTTCAGGGGTATGCATGTTATTATCGCAATACATATACTGGAATACATGTCATTACATGGGATTAAAAGTCGTTACATGAGACTGTATATTAGGACAGGCCATTACAAGTTGTATTCATATTGGCGCATCTCTGAATGATGTTGAAGATAACGAATCGTTCGGAAAATTCGTCTCTCTCTCTTCAAATATGCTCGTATCTATTCAGTCCTCAATATAAGTGTCGATTTGAACAATTCTGTCAATAAAGCGAAAATGTCGTTCATAGACAATCAGGAACGTCTTCAGTGTTTAAAGAATCGACCATTCATTTCTCGAAAGTCATATTTTCTCAGTGTACTAGGTTTCAAGTAATCTACTTCTACAGGGGTGGGGGTATCGCTAAAATTTCAAATAGAGTAAATAATAAATTTTATATCAAATGGAAGCCCATCGATAATGGGATTTATCCATATGAATCAATAAAGCCTTTAAAGATTATTTGCTGTCGTATTTTGAAAATTTCTAGAAATTCATGCATCATAGGCATAGCAAAGTGTTTTGTCACGGGACAGAGATCAAACTAGCTGTGACATAAAAATATTGAACATAGCAACAATTTGCTTACTTTTTAAGACTTAATGAATTATAAAAAATAAACACAACTTCGCTACGCTTATTAATTTTATGTCACAGCTAATTTGATCTCTCTCCCGTGACAAAACATTTTGCCATGCCTATGATGCATGAATTTCTAGAAACTTTCAAAATACGACAGCAAATAATCTTTAAAGGCTTTATTGATTCATATGGATAAATCCCATTATCGATGGGCTTCCATTTGATGTAAAAGGACGGGAGCGCATAAGACAGCGTTTTGGCCCTTTTGATTATTACAACCAAACCTAA